AAAAAATCACGATAATGGAGGAACTTAAATTATGCCATATTCACACATACAAAAAGAGGCATCATCACAGCGATGTACTTTGATGCTATTATCTGGCTCAATCACCTCAATGTAAAGCTATAATTGTTGCCCTACCGCCTACATAAGCATCGGCCGTACGAAAAAGTACATGGAAGGCATACCGTATTGCGTGTGTGGTATACACATACTGTATTAGTAACACGGTTATGAATGCTTCGTGTTTAATACTGCCACTTAAATCGAAAGCTGCCTCCATATGTACATATACACTAGCAATCCCAATAATAACTGAATCAGATGCTAAACATTTAATTCGGGTAAACATTTTATGTGATGCTAAAGTAGCTGTTAATCTTTGAAACAGAAGAGGTTTAAATAAATTATTAAATTTGATAGTTTGTAAACTAATTCATTATAAACTTAGAATTAGCATTAAAAAAACTTATGACAAAATGGACTTATCGGCACAGGATATATTTAAGGCAGATTACATAATTTTTTAAAAACTAATCTGTGTCAGAAATGAACATATAACCGTGGTCACTACGCAGCAATGTGGATTTGCGAGGCGCAAGTAATTATCTGTAATTCACCGTTTCCTCCAAAGTTCTGGATGACAGGCGCGCACCACAAGTGACCCCTAAGTGAACAAACTGAACACGAATGGAATGCGCTGTAGTGAACGAGGAGAATCCGCAACACCTGCTTGAGAGAGACTGAGGCTGCTTTCACAGCTGTAATTAATGAATGTAAAAAAACACTAGTTTTTTTTCTGGGAAGAGGCAGAGTATTTTTGATTATATATGTGCCAGTGTAAATAATTTGAACCCCCCCCCCAAAAACAAAGCAAGGCCGCAGGGCAAAGCTTAAGCATGAAAGAAGCTGCCGCAGTATTGAATCGTGGAAGTATTTTTCAAATTGATTTTGTTGAGTAAAATTTGACAAATAGGGTCACAAGTTGTTTGAAGTGTCACTGTGTGCAAATACAGAGATTAAAAACACAATTTGGTAGAATGAATTAAACATTCGTTATATGTCACTTGTGTTTTTCTTATTTTTTTGTTTGTTAATTAATTATTTTCATGTTTTCAGAGAAGCACAATTCTGATTCCGGCCCGGTTTTATTATGAACAAGCGGGAAGTACCCAGGTCCAAAATATATTTCAAACCTACTCTTAAAAATGTAACAGCAGTGCGTAGTGACTGTGGTGGTACCTGCTATCACTACAGTAGTACATGCTGACTCTATAAGTGTTTATGGACTCTATAGCACAAAGTACTCACCTGACAGAGTGGCGTGGTGAGGCCTAGTCCCATGCAGAGCCTCTGGCCTCGCCTAGATTGTCCAGCCGGCCGAGGTGGCACCTTGGCAGGCTGCTACCCCTGACCCCCCCCCCCGCCCCCCCCACCCCCCCCACAGCCACAATCTCCCCAGCCACTCTGCAGTAATATCTACGGCCTATAGTGGTGGCATCTACCGACTGTAAAGTAGTAACTGCACGCATCGGGGTGGGAGGAACATCACACAGTGAAGAATTTACCTGAGCATTTAGTGTATTTTCATAGCATTTTTAACGCGAAAGAAAATGTCCCCCTCACTCCCACAGAAGGCGTGCGGCTTGGCATGGGCCGTCCTCCCCACCAAAGGCGTGCGAGTTGGTATGGTCGTGCACGCGTCATCTCCATATATATAAAAGGCAAAGTTGTGAATGTGTGCCTGTTCAAAATGTTTAGCGTACTTCCCGACATGCAGCAAACTTGAAATTTGCCATGTGGGTACTTTCCAGACTGTACACCATGCAAACATTATAAAAATACACTTTTGGTTTTTTTGGGGGGGGGAGGAGCTCAATAATGCATATATTTTTTGCACGGCAAGTGAGCTGTGATGTCAAATCTGTCACGTGACCCGCGCATGTGGAAGCGTAACGCATTGTAGTGTAGTGGTTAGCGCGCTGCGCTGCGAACCCGGCGACCTGAGTTCGATTCCCGCTCACGGCCACCACAGGTGACGATTCTTTCAACCGCTCCTGGGCCTCCCCTAGGTCGACTCAGCCTCAAACTGGTAACTGCTGTGGTTTGTGAACATCGCCACTGGGGAGACAAAGGCGGCCAGGCGTGACGCTGGCCACAAACCCCCTCGTGTGCCGTGCCGGCCTTCATAGGTGCTCGCTAACAGCACTTGCCCCCTACAGTCTCACAGGCTACACAGGGGATCCTTTTCGCCACGATCAGACTATGGACAGTGGGAAAACAAAAGGTGGTGGTTGGATGATGATCTTGGTGGAACGTGAGCAATGTCTCCATCAAAGCGTCTTTGTGTTCACCAGATGTAGAGTTTGTGATCCTATCATGCTGCCCTCATTACCACCCGAGTTAATTTAATGTGATTGTTTTAATCGCTGTGTATGTCCCTCCGAGTGCCAACACCACGCCGGCTATGGACGTATCGCACAAAACAATATCTGCACTGGAAACCAAATATCTGGACGCTGCTACAGAGGACAGACTCAGGGATGACCTGGAGGATACAGACTGGGATATGTTTAGGGATGTCGCCAAGGACAGAGTGGAGGAATTTGCATCAACAGTGCTAGGTCATATTCTTGGTTCTTTCGGTAAAGTCATGTAGAAGGGAAACAATAGGTTATATCACGTTCTGCATGGACATTGCTGTGCGAACCAAGACTGTCCGTTCTTACCCAAGTGACAACTCCTGGGTTATAAACGCGACAGTCAAAGCAGCACCGAAGGACCGACACAAAACATGCAAATCCAGAGGCCCGGCTAAAAACAGGAGGACCAAATACGCAGTCCAAAACGCCATCAAGGCGAGCAATAGACAATACAGGGACAAGTTGGGGGTCCTGTACCGTGACTCTAACTCTTGGAGTCTGCGGCGCGGATTGGAATATGGTCCATCACAGACTACAAGGGGACAATAATCTGCGAGGCAATCAACAATGCCTTCCTACTCAACCAGCTCAACACCTTCTATGGACGGTTCGAGGCAAATGCAGCAGCTATCCCTGCAGCCCCAGCTCCACAGTCCCCCCCCCCTGCCTCCGTCTACCCCCCATCGCACCAACCACAGCTCTCCTGCAGGCGTCCTTAGGCTCAACAGAGGCGAGGTGATAAAAGATTCTCCGGCAGGTTGGCACACACACAAGGCAGCCGGCCTAGACGGGATACCGGGGCATATCCTCAGGGCATGCGCACCGCAGCTGGCCCCTGTGTTAACAGACATCTTCGACCTTTCCCTTGCCCACGCTTTTGTTCCAACATGCCTCAAGACCTCTACTATCATTCCGGTCCCCAAAAAAGGCCAAAATTACTTGTCTTAATAACTACAGACCTGAAGCGCTCACCCCCATCATCACGAAGTGCTTCGAGAGGGCAATGAAGAAACACATCTGCTCCATCCTACCAGATACACTAGACCCCCTGCAGTTTGCGTATCGCACTAACAGGTCCACGGACGACACTATTACATTGCATAAGGCACTGTCCCACCTGGAGGTGAAGGAGGGTAACTGTGAGAATGCTGTTTATCGATTACAAATCAGCATTCAAGACCATAGTGCCCTCAATCCTAATCTCCAGACTGGAGGCCTTGGGTGTGAACGTCACCCTCTGCAGTTGGGTGCTGGACTTTCTAACCGGAAGACCTCAGGCGGTAAAGGTGGGCAATAACATCTCGTCTTACCTGACCATCAACATAGGTGTCCCCCCCCCCTCAAGGATGTATGCATAGCCACCTCCTGTACTCCATCTACACTATCGACTGTACAGCCAGGTACAGCTCGAACGCCATCAAATTCGCCGACAACACGACAGTGGTGGGCCTGATCACCAACGACACCACAGCTTACCTGGATGAGGTGATGGCACTCTCGACATGGTGTTAAGGGACCAACCTTGAGATCAATGTCGGCAAAACTAATGAGCTGATTCCGCACTTCAGGAAGAGGGGTAAGCACGTGCCACTAACCATCAACAGGACCTCAGTGGAGCAGGTCAACAGCTTCAGGTTCCTCGGAGTTCACATCTCAGAGGACCTGAAATGTCCAGCAGCGCCTTTATTAACTAAGGCTGAGGAAATTTGGCATGCCCGTACCTGTTCTCAGGAACTTTTACAGGTGCACCATTGAGAGCATCTCGACTGGCTGCATCACCACCTGGTACAGTAACTGCACCGAACGGGACCGGCAGATGCTTCAGAGGGTGATGCGGTCTGCACAGCAGATCACAGGTGGAGTGCAGCCTACCCTGGGAGACCGCGACACCAAGAGGTGCATCGCGAAGGCCCAAAAGATTCACCGCCGATTCCAGCCACCCGGGCCATGGCCTTTTCATCAGAAAACAATCCAAGAGGAAGCCAGGCAGGCTACAGCAGCATTGCAGGCTACCATCAACCGCCTCAGGGGGGACAGCTTCTATCCCCAGGCCATCTGGATGCTGAGCAGAGCCTCGCGCAATCTCTGCCCAAGCCCCACCAACCCCTGATTTTGCTCCCCCCTACCCCCATTCAACCCCCCCCCCCCCCACCGATTGCACTAGACATAAACCAAACGAGAAAATTTTACAAAACAAGATCATGTATAAAGCTCACCCGCAGGGAACCCTATTTCTTCTATGCACATGTCACTTTTATCTGCACAGCGATTTTACTTAGTTTTTTATGAATGTTAAAATATATTTAAAAATATTGTTGCTGCTGTTTGCATTATTGTTAATTTGCACAAGCTGAGAGAGAACGACACGGGAACAAAGAACCTCACTGCCTTGTACCTCATGTATGCATGGCTATGTGATCAAGAAAGCTGACTTGACTTGGCTTCAATAAGCTACAGTTTAAAGCAGCAAGTGTTGGACTCATCGCCTCCATTAAGGTCTATTGACAGGCCCAATTGATCAAGTTGGAATATACAGGAAAACCGTTGGGCTCTGCAAGGTTTAACTATTGTGTTGTTTTCCAGAACACGGGGATGATATTTTGGCTCGATGCGGTTTGACGCCACGAAGATTCTCATCTCTGCATCGAAAGGGAGTGACGTGAGAGTACTGCATCCGTTGAAAGGTGTGAACAAATCGACTGTGAGAACGATTTATTTACCATGAATGTTTGCCCGTGTGTATGTTTTTGGTGTGGTAATGTAACACACTCAATGAGCACAACAGTGTAATGCAAACATTCACATATTGCAGCATGCATCTAGCCATCCACCCGTGGAGAACGTTAGACGGAAAAACAAAGAGTGCACACACGCACAAGCAATGGGGAGTGACTCAGCATCTTTTAGAACAATAATGGCAGAATTCAAAATTAGTAAGACAAAGATGAAGGGGGTGATAATTTCGGACCCAGGAACACAACCCTATTTTTCCCATAAGGCTTACTATTTGTCTAACACATTTTTGCCTAACACAGAATTTTCCAGGGACATAACCCTCACGTCCATCGAGGTCTGCCTGTATACGAGCAGAGATGAAGGAAATATTTATCTAACGGTGTTTTATGACTTCACAAGGTGGTTGCAATGATCAGAGTATGCTTCCAGGCAAGTCCGTGGTAAATGATTTTTAAACAAATGATGCAAAGGGTTTAAAATTGTAGATTTAATCACAAAATGTGCGATGCGAATGCTACTGAATTGAAATAACATTAATAAACAAACAAAAAACTCCCTATGTGTGCAGTGTAATGTGTTGGATTAATGTCCATCAATGTTTATCTTTTCAGCTTCAGACCTATTAACAATCTAAACATCATATCTACAGAAGGCACAATGTCAGAAATGAATTCAGCTTCAAGAAAATGGGTATTTCTTACCCTACTATTTGTTTCAATTAGTATTATTCTGGCGACAGTTTTGATTCACCAGCATGTAAATGCAAACTTTCCCAAGAAGTGCCCAAATAAATTTGTTCTAAATGGCATTAAACCCGATTACAAGGCAATAGAGATATTTTCCGACCTAACGCCAACAGAATTGACCACCGTCAAGGACTTTCTGGTGAGCGATAAGAACCTCAATATTGTTGCTTCAGAAGCCACCGTGAACAGCAACTACATCTACATGATAGAGCTCTACAACCCAGACAAAAAGGAAGCTTTAAATTACTTGGACCATGGAGGAGCCAAGCCTGCTCGAGTTGCTAAGGCAGTGGTTTTCCGCGGAGCTGACGTTCAGCCATCGATTGCAGAATATCTGATAGGCCCGCTTCCGAATCCAACCTGGTACCGGCCACACAGTCCATCAACTAGGAAACGCGTTATTAATTTTAGCTCTCGGCCAACGACAATCCCGGAATACACGGCTTTGTACACACATTTTTTACCAAAAGCTTTAGAAAAAGTGAACCATATTTTGGAGGAGAGTTATGGCTATACGTATCATAACTGTACAAAAAAATGCCTAACCGTTGGGGAAGTGGCACCAAAAGGATTGAAGTCAGGAGAAAGGCGGTCCTGGGTAATGCTTCTCCGACAATTGGAAGGGTTTTACCTGCACCCAGTAGGCTTTCACGTTTTGGTAAATCATGAAAGCTCAAACACCGCAAAATGGGCAGTGGAGAAGGTTTACTACCATGGCCAATATTTTATAAGCATCGAAGAGCTAATCACAAAATATGACAAAGGTTCTATTACTAAGATAAAGCTGAGTGACAGCAGTCGAGAATCATCGGGATATAATCGTCGCGGAGCCTTCAGAGCAGACACGTCTCAGACGGGACCACGGCAGTACGAGCCCGAGGGCCACCGGTACCGGGTTGACGGGAACTTTGTGCAGTACATGCCCTGGACGTTTGCTTTCAGAATCTCTTACATGGGGCTTCAGATATTTGACATTAAGTACAACGGTGAGAGAATTGTCTATGAGATGGGCCTCCAAGATGTCGTCTCATACTATACTGGCAACGATCCGATAGGAAGCTTATTCAGAGCCATGGACTCAGGTTGGCACTTTGGTGCCGACAATTTTGAGCTTGTGAAGGGGATCGACTGCCCGCACACTGCCACGTACCTGGACACGTACCACTTTGTGAACTCGGATAAGCCGCTGAAATACCCGAACTCCATCTGCATTTTCGAGCACAACACAGGAGTGCCATTGCGTCGACACTTGGAGGACGAACACCGGAGAGGCTACTCGTTCTATGGTGGCTTGGTCAACTATGTACTCGTGATTAGGAGTGTCAACACGGTGTACAACTACGATTACGTCGTGGACTATATTTTCTACCAGAATGGAGTCATTGAAGCAAAGATTCACCCCACTGGGTACCTCGTGGCGACGTATTTCCTTGGGCATGGACTCAAGTATGGCAACAAAATATTTGACCACGTCCTTGGCAATGTGCACACGCACATGATAAACTACAAACTGGACATGGATATAGTGGGTGAGTTTATTTTCACCAATATTATCCATGCATGTATTGTTTTACAAAACTGCTCGTGTAACTTTAATCCATGATTGTGTTCATATATTGAATTGAAAGTGATTAAAGGGCATTTACGTCAGAACAGTATTGTATTGTCACTAGTTTTTCTGAACAATCATTCTATTTTCTATTGAGTACCTTTAAAATGAGCAGGCGTATAATGTAGATAGAGTAAATGTTATCTGCAACCCTCTTATCCGCAAATCCTATTATCAGCAGTCCAACATTAAATTCACACAAACTACTTTTGTACGTCGTCAACTCTTTAATTTATCTGAACATTTGTACTGAAAATAGGATCTACCCATTAGAGGTTGTGATGATAACTAATTGCATTATATCCCAGTATTTTTTTTTTCAATGGATAAGAGGATCGTGGAAGTGGTTGCTGGCAGGTGCTAAACACATCCTAATATCTACGGTGTCCTATGTATGAGAGAATAATGATGATGATGATGTAAATGGCAACGATGATTATTTTCATGTTGCTTGTAGATGATGATGATGGACAGTAGGGCATTAAACAAAGCAGTCCAAAATCAAAGTTTTCCAGCAGTTCATGATGTTGCCCATGCACCGTTATCCAAAGTGTTTGAAGGCAGTGAAAATGTGTAGGTATTCGAGGAATGTCTGCAGTTGAGGAAGTAATGTGCATAATACAGGGGTTGTGATAAGGGGATCAATTAATGTGTTAACAGGGCAAATAGCAGTATTTATGTATTTCACAACATTTCAGTATTTATGGATTTCACAAACCACTTTGGGTGAGTAGTGAGCTTAATTTAATGTAATTGTTGCAAGAAAGGTGCTTAAAGCAAAAGCAATCGCTTTTTACGGTACAAGTCGTAGAGATGGACTTCAACTAATTGCAAAACAAGTGATAGCATTAGCCATGATGAGCTCTCGCTCTCTCTCTTGATGGAGTTCGATCTTGTTTCCCCCAAAATGTTTCTAATTTTGCTTTCATATCATGAGATGAAGAATCCATTATACAATTCTGCAGACGCAGTGTGCCCGGTGTGTTAGAGAGTTGCTAAGTAAGAGATTTAGTTTTACAGGCCTTCTCTATATTTCAAGGGCCCTTGTTACCCTTTATGTAGGGGTCGCACTTTCTCATTACACTGCTATGCCTTTGTCGCCTCAAAGTTAAACTGATCATTTAAATTCTCAGAACTAGAAACCAACTAGATTTCAACTCAGGATCTCAGCAGTGTTGATTCAGTACTCAGTTCTCTAAGCCACCTCAAATGTTATTCCATCCTAAATGCATTTAAAAAAATACTTTACCTTTTACACTTACACCTGGTTTCCTCCTAATATATATTACTCTCCTGTACAAAACAAATATATTAAGTAGTGAATATTGAACAATAGCACCATCGGTATACATTAACTTAACTTCAGAGTACACGGCAACGCCTCTTCAAACTTAAATAAGTAATATTAAAAAAAAAACTTTTTTAAAACCACGCTTTTATGAAATGTACCGTACTAGTAATGGCAGGACTCCACGACTCCAGGAAGTGGCCGCGAAGATTGCCATAACGTAAGGGGACCATGGTGATTTACAGCCAACGTCAGTTGACCGTGGACAATTAGACCCAAGCCAAAAGATAACATATAAAAAAAGAATGTTTAAAAATCTAGATTTATATATTTTTTATGATGCAATATAGTATTGTCATCAGTATGATATAAGTATACTAAGTTTGCACTCGATACCACATTGGGAAGTGGGTTAAGATTGAGTTACAAGATTTGAGGATACAACAACGACAACAACAATGACAACAACAAGAGTGAGTTAAAAGAAAGCGTGTAAAAAAGCACAGATCACCATCACACGGCACTGTTTATACAGCATAATGTACACACAGCGTACTGTGTACACAGCACACTGCGTATAGAAACAATGACCTGCTGCTTACCGTTTGTCCCACAGGCACAAGCAACAGCTTTAAGACTGTGAACCTGCAGCTCGAGAACACGACCGTCGTTTGGAGCCCAGAGCACGCCAAGGTCATGCCCACCGTGAAGCATGACCTCAAGAAGACAGAGTCGGAGGCAGCCTTCAAGTTCGACGTCAGACTTCCATACCTGGTGTTCGTGAACGAGAACGCCAGAAACAAGTGGGGCGCCCAGCGTGGTTATCGCGTGCAGCTCACGAGCCACGGCAACCCCCTGTTGCCAGAGGATTATGAAGAGGAGAAAAGCGTTGCGTGGAGCAGGTATTTTTTTAAAAGCAAAGCGCAGTTGAATCATCGTGATCATCACCCGCCGAGGTGAAGGTTTTTTCCAAGTCAGTGATGTGATTGAACACTATCTGGTTCGCTGATTTCGTCACAATTTCTGCAGTGAATGTACTATTACAGTCCGGTATAACGTAATAATAGGTTTCCCCCCCTTTTTTATAGTATAACGTGCAAATAAAAAACTCATTTTATATACATCCTTATCTTCAACCGCAATTATCTGTAAATCAATCAACAACTCGCATCCTATTTGCAGAACAGCCATTATTATTACTACCCACAATTCTATAGATACAGTGAAAAGAAATACTCTAAGGTTACCAGAACCTTCCGAGAATCCCTGACAATCACGAATAAGGAGGGTCATGATCAGTCTACTCTAGGGAATAGATGCAGCCCACAAAAAGAGAGCGTATTTTGTTCACGATGCCACCTCGAGGCAACAAGGGCACCCCCCAGCTTTGCATTCACGTGAGATTCGCGAATGAGATCAAAGTTAGGCCCGAAAGAGGATGACCGGAAATATCATAACGTGAAGATCATAAAGACGTCTGTATAATAGCTACATTGTAATCGCAAACTCTTCCAGTGGGAGGAAGACACAACGCATATTGATCATAGATAATAGAGACGTCTTTATTATAGCAACATAATAGCAAAATCGTCCAGTGGGAGGATGACACAACGCATATTGATCGAAGATAATTGATTCTTACACGTGTGATTTTATGCATGTAGCTTGAGAGTACTTTGGGTCCATTTTTATACAGTAGGATTATATGGGCAGATCACTTCAGCCCTATACAAGGCATGTAACGATTTATAAATGTGATTAAAATCCATTGTTAGCCTCCCAATACATGCATCAGATGATGTGCTTAAGAATATGTTTACCACTCATATTGTATGTTATCAGCAAATCAGAGGTCTGGTTAATCTTACCACCATTTAAAATGCATGTCTTTGTTTCTCTGTGAAATAAGCTCACGTACAGGAGCTACAGTAGCTGGATTATCCCATCGTAGGAACAGAGTGGGTAGATGATGGCTGATAATTATGGTAGTTGGCGTGTCAGATATGTCCGTATGTGCTGAGACTAGTGACGTTCCTTCACCGTTGCTCCTGTTATCACCATTGTTTGTATACCTCTCATTTCTGCCAAAGGTATCAGATGGCGGTGACAAAACGGAAGGAGACAGAGCTGTACAGTGGAAGTATCTACAATCAACATGACCCGTGGGATCCTGCCGTTTACTTTCAGGACTTCATAAATGACAATGAGAACATTGTCAATCAGGTTGCTTCCATTAGATTTAGATTCTTACTGAAATTACCTTCAAAAGCACATCTATTTTCATTGGCAGCTTGTACCCACCCACACATTACACCACCGCATGTGACCTGCTGCTGATCGATTGTGTTTTACCCATTTATACGGCTGGGTTGACAGATTCGGGGTTTTAAGAAAGGTGAAACATGACCACAAAATGTCACATAAAACTGAAATATAGCAATACAATGGAGACTTTGTGCAATCAGCACGGATTGGCTTTGTACAGCACGAAAGAAGTTCAAGTCTATAGAGTTGTGCTAACGCCATCGCCTGTGGCCGTGCCGTTGGGCAGGACCTGGTGGCCTGGGTGACGGTGGGCTTCGTGCACATCCCCCACTCGGAGGACGTCCCCAACACGGCCACCGCCTGCAACGGCGCGGGCTTCTTCTTCCGGCCGTTCAACTTCTACGACGAGGACCCATCGGTGGCCTCGCGGGACGTCGTGATCCTGCGGCCAGGGCCCCCCGGCTCGGGAGAGACGCGCGTGTCCTGGTGGACGGAGCAGAGCCCCACTGAGCCCAGCGTCTGCCTGCCCGACATTCAGCCGCTCACATACAATGGGACGCGCGGTCCCGTGTAAAGCGCGCAGCAACTCTGCGGTGATTCGCAGATGGTGTTTATAACAAAAAAACTGTTCATTAGCAAAAATGAATCTGCAGTGTTGATGGAGCAGCTTATCGTGATATAAAAACGAGGTGTCTTCATGCTCAAAAAAAGCTAAATGTTTCTGGGCAGCCATGGTATCCTTTGGCAACCCTAGAGCCAGATGTGGAAATCCCACTTTTCTCCACATAGTGGTAATAATTTTATACATGCAGGTAGATTGACGAGTAAACCCGCTAAATGGATGTTAACTGAAATCATATGAGTTGAGTGCACTCACCACAGTGCCATCTACAGGGAAAAGAGGTGTTGGTGATAAGATGAAGCAGTTTAGAGATTTAATAGTATAGCACAGTTTTTGATGCCCACTCCGCCTGGATTCACGTTATGCTCAAGCATAAACCATGTATCATAGATGGCTAGAGCATATATGAAGGTTTCCAATTCAGGCAGTGGACTTGAAATCTTGTCACCATCTAAAGCAAAGAGGCAGAAGGGTGCAAAAAGACTTTGAGAGTGGACATAAAGGGAATTCAATAGGGGTGTAGTGGGTTCAATTGAGGCGCACACTCAACTTGTAGGCAACACTATTAACGCAAAACCAACGTGAACATTATATACAGGGTGGTGACCACCGTTCCTAATCTCACTAACACTCGGGGAGTACTACACAGCGTGACCAGGGCAGGTCACGGGTTGCCTGGTCACGAACGACGATCGGAGACTCGAGGACCGCTGATGGCGTCTTCATCCCGGGGTTGAACAGCCCCGCTCTCTGTTGATGCCCCGCTTATAACCGCTGCGACATGGCCAGCTCCATCCCAGGCCACGCCCCCCCCCCTTCTCGAAGGTCCGAGCCCCCAACCACGTGACCCCCAAGCTTCCCCCTGGGGCCCCTAGCCCCCCTTTATCCGGTCACGTGTCCTGTAGTGTTCACGCAGTGTCACGGCCTGACACGACCCCGTGACAACCACCTACAGCACCCATACCAAGCCAACAGTAGTGACGTCATATGTCCCTACGCTCGTACAGTTCCGACAGAGTAGTGACGTCGTATGGCACTACAGGGGTGTAACAATTCATACCGCCACACCAGCCATGGCGATTCGATGCATCAACATATTAAGGGTTGCGGTTTGTGTTTTTTTTAAACTGCAATTCTACACCCGTTTAATCAATTTCTTACCTCTAAATCATTGCCCATTGATTGGAATATTAGAAATGTATACAAAAAAAACATTTGATCAAGTATTTAATGACCTCTAAGGTATTAAATGCCGAACAATCTTTTAGATCTAGACGCAGTACCATCAAAATTACTACAGTCTTAGACTGATGGGGCAAGTGCCGTTTGCGAGCACCTATGAAGGCCGGAGCGGCACACGAGGGGGGTGGGTTGGCCAGCATCACGCCCGACCGCCTTTGTCTTCCAAGTGGCGATGTTGTTACACACCGCACCAAGTACTCATTTGAGGCTGAGTCGACCTAAGGGAGGCCCAGGACTGGTTCAGATAATCGTCAGTGATGTTGGCAGTGAGCGGGAAATTAACTCGGGTTCGCCAGGTTCATAGCGCAGCACGCCAAATTATCGCTCCCCATACACACACACACTAGCAGGCATAGATACAATGCGTGGTTCTGTACAGAAAGCAGGGGAGGAGAAAACACGCACCAGACTCCCCTTAACCCTTAACTCGGAGACTCATACATTAAACTAATGTTTATAATAAATGACAACCGTGCAGGATTCTTTGCCATGAAATACCCTGCATAAGCTCCGATTTGTTTGTCAAAGTGTCATTTGTGCTGACCGGAATTATAGCCTCCAGAAGTTCTCAGCACTGGGGGTATTGACAAGGATTGGACGAAGGTATGAATCCTGCGGCCATGCAAAGTATGTGGTGAAGTGCAAAACCACACTGTGAAACTGGGGACGTTTAACCCCTTGGACGACAAGACATTCTCAACAGTGGACAATTGTGTGTGGCATCTAGAAACTAAAAACATGGCTTAAGTTTCTCACTCGATATTTTCCGGAACGCTTCTAGTCTGGTTTGGAGTAGGGATTATTCACGTATAGAGTCCAAAGTACACATATGTTCCTAAAATGTAACACTACAGTTACAATATATAGTAATATATGAGATGCATGGACTCGCAATTGTTTTGGACAAAATTAGGTTCAAATGATTGTGGTGTGGCAAAATAATACCCGGAACACTGTTTTGGACTATTCCAACTGATATTAAGCACTGATAAAAAGCATATGTTGAAAATGAATCACATACAAATACTGTGATGGTGCTTTGGTAACATTTTTCGACTTACAATTCGGACGCCTGTGAGCTCAATAACAGTCAGGAGCTAACGCGGTCCATCATCCTTTCACTCGCTGTCATATGGAGAAAATATTCTGTCCGTGGGAATTGTGGAATTTCCAACGACAGAGCTGTTTACAGGAATGAGTACTGACTGATTGCCTTTCAAGCAGGGGGACACTGAGTTTAACTTAACATGTTTTGAAATGTACTCTACATTCATGGAATTTAATTGCTCCATAAACAGATCTCGCATTGGGACGTGCTTTAATTTTCACGTCTTCTTTGGTCATAATAATGTGACACGTTCCCCTTTCTTGGCTGTCATGCCATGACTTTTTATCTATCCTGTGAGCTGTTCTAACAGTATCGTGGCCAAATACATTTCATTCACAGTAATATCGAATCATTATTTGTTTCATCTGTTCCGTTTATTGTTTCGCGTGATTTTAATGATTATCTTCCAAGGATGGCGTCTGTGACGCTCTATTTTGTTGTGCTCATTTCTTGGTCTCCCTTGACAACTGCTCCATGGGCTGTGTATCAGAGCATCAAAGGTGACCGTCAGAACATTTACATGGGAAGAAGACGAGAATTGCACTTCAGCGCAACGCTTGTTGGGAAATGGCGACTTCATGAAAGCAATCCGCGCCACATGTTTGGGTTGACAGAATGTGTATGCATGAATGAGGAAATGTATTGAAGCTGAGAAGACAGCCTATGCTAGAAACCGAAATACTGTATGCAGTACCGATCATCGCCATCAGCGACTACAGCAATCATTTTCAATTCACTGCTGCATTGTGAGTGTCTCCAGCTGTCTGCAGTGGCAAAAAGCACAACACAGTATTGTTTATATACTGCATTGTGTCCTCATCATTGTCCCTCTCCTGACTGTTTGGTGTAATCCCCCGCCATTTAGAAACATATAACCAAGTGAAAATTAATTATTTTTCGCTTGAAACTAATCAGGTTGTTTTGAAATGTTATACACAGCAGAACCAGGGATAATATCCAAAGTAAGAGTAGAAATAAGTTGAACATGGAATGCACTGGTGGTCAGTCATTGTATGCGGCTCAAGAGGGAGTTACACATGTTTGCAGTTACCACTGCAATGCATCAACGTTAATATTTTTAAAGACTAGTAACATCGCAACTAATGGGCAGTGAACATTTTTTTTTTAATACAGCGATGCAAGTTTGGCAATACCACAAGTGTCCATGGTGATTTAATGGCAACATGTATAGTATAGCCTCAGTTGCACTAAACATTTCCAAACACGGTCCTGGAGTAACGATGCAGTGACCCCGAGGTCACCCTAGCCATCTCATGGGGGATTACTTAACCTTTGTGAGTCATTACTCTTTGTTTCTATTCGGTAAAGTCACGTAGGTAAAAATAAAATAACAAAAATCACGACGTTTCGGCCACAACACAAGTGGCCTTCATCAGGTGAAGGGATCGTGCTGTCATGAGGACAGCGTTGGAGTGAAAACAGCCAAGCCCAGGTCGCGTCCTTTAAGCTGTGTGGGAGGAAGCAAAACGCTTGACAAAGGAATTAGCATAACAATGAGCACGATGTACGTAGGAGGTGCATGGGCCATGATGGGCCAGGAGCGGGTGGGGACCATGATGGACCAGCAGCGGGGGGGGGGGAGTAGAGTGAGTGAGTGGAGTGAGTGAGTGGAGTGAGTGGAGTGAATGAGTGGAGTGAGTGAGTGGAGTGAGTGGAGTGAGTGAGTGGAGTGAGTGAGTGGAGTGAGTGAGGGCAGTGAGTGGAGTGAATGAGTGGAGTGAGTGAGTGGATAGAAATAAGCAGCTGTGAAAGTTTGGGATACCACTAGGTGAAGGGACCGTGCTGTAATGAGGACAGCGTTGGAGTGAAAACAGCCAAGCCCAGGTCGCGTCCTTTAAGCTGTGTGGGAGGAAGCAAAACGCTTGACAAAGGAATTAGCATAAAAATGAGCACGATGTACGTAGGAGATGCATGGGCCATGATGGACCAGGGGCGGGTGGGGACCATGACGGACCAGCAGCGGGGGGGGGAGAGAGTAGTGTGAGTGAGTGGAGTGAGTGGAGTGAGTGGAGTGAGTGAGTGAGTGGAGTGAGTGGAGTGAGTAAGTGGGGTGAGTGGAGTGAGTGAGTGGAGTGAGTGGAGTGAGTAAGTGGGGTGAGTGGAGTGAGTGGGTGGAGTGAGTGAGTGGGTGGAGTGAGTGAGTGGAGTGAGTGAGTGGAGTTATGTCCTCACAATATACCATGGCCCATGCACCTCCTACGTACATCGTGCTCATTGTTATGCTAATTCCTTTGTCAAGCGTTTTGCTGCCTCCCACACAGCTTAAAGGACGCGACCTGGGCTTGGCTGTTTTCACTCCAACGCTGTCCTCATGACAGCACGGTCCCTTCACTTGATGAAGGCCACTTGTGTTGTGGCCGAAACGTTGTGATTTTTGTTATTTAATTTTTTACCTATGTGACTTTACCGAATAGAACCAAAGAGTATGGATCCTTGCAGTCACGATAGCTTCAAATCTAGAATTTTTCAGTCATTGTTTTGTGTAACTGTCAATGCTCCAATGATTGCAATTCCATTAATGATTACATAACGTCTAATATTTAATTTAAGGAGGAATCCTAGGGAATTCAAGCGTCGTTAAAAATAACATTTTATGGATACTGTCCTCACATAATATACCAGAAACCCCCTTGTTTTTCTGTAATATGCCTTTGCATTCAGTGCATTCATTTGGATAAAGTGTCATTCACTAAAATATGGATATAACGCGGTAAAATCACTACTGTAATAAAACGTCCAGTTGTTTGGCTGTCTTTTGATTAGTGTGGAGGAGTGGAAGCTTGTTTCCTGTTCATAGCCCTCAGCCAGTAGTGGAAGTTAAACATACGGTGGAGGCCCAGTCTCAATCAGACACGTTTGCTGACTTCCCGCTAAATACTATTAATCTTACCCAGTGGAAAGGTATGTCATGGGTTGCATTACCCCCATATGGAATAGATATAAGTCAAACCTGCAAATGGGGAAAAAACGACACGCAAGTACTGTGAAATAATAACGAAGAAAAGGGAAAAAAAGCAGAAGAGTATGCAGAATGTTTCATGCCTGGAATTATACTCAGGAACAGGAAGAGAATCACATCTGTTATACACACCTATACACAAGTTAGAGATATTGAAATGGGCAAGTGTGCATAAGAGAGATGGATTGTTGCATCTCAAGCCCACGAGATGGCCACGACTTAGGGAGGCCTTCATCCGACGCTGCACGTAATGTAATCTTCTGTCGTATGGCGGGAGGGAAAAGCAACAGTTTTTTAAATGTGCTATAGTTCAAGTCGAATATTTTTCAACCAACCAAAGAGGCAGTCGACGGGTTAGATATTTGGACTTTCACCACAGTGGCAGTTTGACGATTCTTTGATCTTCCATTTATGTTGTGTTCAAATTCAGTTTAGCATGGTTCTTAGTTGGCAGTACTTCAATGTGGTTTTTATTTACCACGTCCATAGCCTGCCAGGATGTCATCCAACGAGTGTCGATGTATTTATATTCGACTGCTAAAGAGGAGGTGTATATGCAGAAAGGAATCCTAGATTTCAACCTCGGGCGTGGGGGTTCTTTTTCGATCTCACTGGAGCGGCAGAGTGATGTCCATAATGTTGTGTTACTCCTGTGTTATCACGGCATCACATGGAATGCAATGCTCAGCTTATGCGTCGTTGATGAAAATTAGATCTCACAATCGCTGACAAACCACAAACAAGCTGGAAGGCAGACAGGCGGTGAGCCACATGACTCACGTGGATTAGAAACACAAGCCACATGTATCACTGCCTGGCTGGATAGATCACAAGTGATGATATGATATTTTAAATGCAAATTTGAGTCTTTAAAACTTAAACATTATTGTCTGAAAAGTGATTGGATGGGGTACAGTTGTAGTATCCTCAACAAGGATACCACGTAGTGCATAGAGGTCACTTTCAAGGGGTGAGATTAATTAAACAAAAACATGGATGATGCAAAACATATAAATTGTGGTGAAAATATAGATGTCTGTTTTTAGAGCTGGTAGCTTGGGAGGCCTTCATTCAGCAGTGGATTTATCACAACTGATGAGCAACTAATAAGTATACCACCATGCATGTAAGAAAATTCTGTATGCTTTCTCAAAAACGATTAATCTGTAACTTTCCCATGAAAGGGATTTGAAAGTTAAGGGTTTTGTACATGGAAGCATGAAACAAGGTGAGGTCAAAAATGGGAAAAGCAGACACTTAATATTGAATTAATAGATAGGCTCTAATTCAGGCTAAAGTTATATGTAGAGAGGAAAGTCTAAAGCCTGAACTTGAACAACTAATGGTGCAGGTGACCGGGAAAAGAAGATTCCAGATTAACAAGGCAACGGAGGAGTGGCCATCGAATTAATGGAGGTTCCCTGGGATGTTGAAAGATAGCTTTTATTTCTGCATCAAATATGAATGAAATGAGAGTATCACATTGTATTTTATTCCTAGTTGTACCATGTTAATGCACGACTTTTCCATTTGTAACTTGACCACGTAAGAGTTGTTTTTGCATTGTTTTTTTTTTGCTGTAGTAACCAGGTTGCTATGGTGTAATGAGGTCCCCCATTGAAATGAGCGTGTATTGCCAAATGAGTGTTACCTTTGCCAAAATATAACCTGAACCGTGACTTAAAGCTTTCGTGACTGCAGGAATTCATACTCTTTGGGCCTTTCGGTAACGTCACGTAGATAGAAAAATATATATTTTTATTTTTCTATCTACGTGACGTTTTATACCCAAAGAGTATAAAATCTGAACCTCAAATCATTAAAGTTCAATAATTACATTAATTAACTAGCACACATTAAATTTCGATTTAAAGCTTTCGTGACTGCAGGGATTCATCTTCTTGGTTCTTTCGGTAAAGTCACGTAGATTGGAAATAAAATAATAGAAATAAAACATAATGAAATAAAATTCTCACGACGTTTCGGCCACAACACAAGTAGCCTTCTTCAGGTAAAGGAACAGAACTGTCGGGATGACAGTGCTTCAATGCACGCTGCTAAGCTTCGCAGCGTCTTTTAAGCTAAGTGGGAAGAGCAGAGAGCCTTGCCAAAGGAGTTTACACATCAATAGGAGAATTTAGCATTGAAATAGCTGTGTTAAAGTGTTGGATTAGCAGGGAGTTAAAGTCAGAAATTAGCATGTAACTGGGAGATTAGCAAGATGTTAATGTGAGGGATTAGCATGTAACTGGTCACGGAAATAGCTATGTTAAAGTCAGAGTTTACATATCAACAGATGCATTTAGTATAAACCGATGTGAAAAAAAACTAAGTATAAACTACATCAATATAATAAATGTACTCAATATATTCTTCAATAAGTTGAGCTATTAACATAAAGTAACTGGGTATACACTACACTATATAATGAATACCATATAGTAAACTGATATAAAAACTAAAATATAAACTACATCAATGTTATCAATAAACTTAATATACTCTCCAATCAGCTGAGTTACTAACAATAAGTCGTTATACATTACAATTCTATGTCGAAAAAAAGTTTGGCGTTTTTTTCTTTTCCACGTTAACACCACGGAAAGCGACGAGCTTTGTTCAGATGGACGAGTCCATCTATGCTCGGAACGGAGGAGGGGGGAGAAACAGCCACGATGCGCTGCTCTGGTGTACATGCTTGAGTTCACTGGCAATGTGTTCCTGGTCGGAAATGCATTAGGCTCTATGGTAAAATACAATAAATTAAGAACCGAAATGGTTCTTAATTGATTGTATTTTACGGTGACTTTCAGACCGCAGTCCATTCGCTGGCACTGCCTCTTAGTACCTTTCACACGACGGTCAATGGTATGGTTTATAGCATGTTGTATAATAATAAATAGTATAACAGTGTAATGTTTAACATAATTCATAAGGCAATATATAGTATCGTAATTGTATAGTGAATATACAGCAGTGTGGTATACAGTAGGGTTGGCAGAATAATACATAGTGTAATATTACAAGTCTAATATTTTACAGTCTAAAGTATAGGGTAGTGTATAGTAACGCATTGTATAATTCACGGGTGGGTTTGTCTATGGCAGTGTATATTACGGTGTATAGTCGTGTAATGTAGAAAAAGGTTTAGTTGGAGACATATCAATATAATGCATAATGTTAGAGCTTACATTGGGCTGTGTATACAATATTATACAATGTAGTTTAGATTGGAAGGCATAACATTGCAATGTATAGTAGTCTAGTTTATAGCATAGTTGCAACGCAACACAGGACAGAGCAGCGCATCGTGGCTGTTTCTCTCTCTCCCCCCTCCTCCGTTCCGAGCATAGATGGACTCGTCCGTCTGAACAAAGCTCGTCGCTTTCAGTGGTGCTCACGTTGAAAATAAATAACCGCCACCCTTTTTTTCGACATAGAATTGTAATGTATAACGACTTATTGGTAGTAGCTCAGCTGAGTGGAGAGTATATTGAGTTTATTGATAACATTGATGTAGTTTATATTTTTTTATTAGTTTACTATATGGTATTCATTATATAGTGTAGTGTATACCCAGTTACTTTATGTTAATAGCTCAACTTATTGAAGAATATATTGAGTACATTTATTATATTGATGTAGTTTATACTTAGTTTTTTTTCACATCGGTTTATTGTATGATAGTTAGGTAGTTGCAGTCCTTTAGCGTCAATATACTAAATGCATCTGTTGATATGTAAACTCTGACTTTACATAGCTATTTCCGTGACCAGTTACATGCTAATCCCTCACATTAACATCATGCTAATCTCCCAGTTACATGCTAATTTCTGACTTTAACACCCTGCTAATCCAACACTTCAACACAGCTATTTCAATGCTAAATTCTCCTATTGATGTGTAAACTGCTTTGTCAAGGCTCCCTGCTCCTCCCACCTAGATTAAAAGACACTGCGAAGCTTAGCAGCGTTAATTGAAGCGCTGTCGTCCCGACAGTTCTGTTCCTTCACCCGAAGAAGGCTACTTGTGTTGTGGCCAAAACGTCGTGAGAATTTTATTTTATTATATTTTATTTTTATTATTTTATGTACATTCTACGTGACTTTACCGAAAGAACCAAGAAGACAGCACACATTACTTGAAAGGGATAATGCGCAACATATGAGACTGGTGATGGATTGAGCGATAATGGAAGAGAATCCAGCCCCCAAGTCGACAACTGTGGAAAGGAAGCAACGGAAATTTGGATTTGTGGCATCGCAGGACAACGAGTGATGGAGATGGCGTCGGGAGGCCTTCATCCAGCAGTCGAACGGAAACGCCTGAGGATGATGATGGCACTGTCAGAGTATGATATATGAGCTTTTGGAACACCATCCAGTCGCTAAGCTGATTTTCCATCAGCATTTCTGCACACCCATGCGGAAATCATACGGGTTATCCCACCCGGAAATTTCCACTAGTCCAACCCACATCTTGTATAAAAAAAACACTACTTCCCCACCCTCTTTGTCTTCGACGTAACCTCTGATACATTACTGTATACATGCTGTGGCAGAGGCTGAAGTATGTTTTAACAAAGAAAAGTAAACAGGAAATACGTTTAACACGATGATGCCCCCATAAATGCACAAGACTGCTTGCGAATGACGGATTGTGTAAGTACTTGTTGTAGAAGTACCATATAAGTCGTTGGATTGGACTTGATACACGTGCACAGGGTTTGGCAGTCTCAGCATTGAGAGATATCTGAAGAGTGGAAGGTAAGTTTGCATGATTACACACACACACGTTGAAGTAATTTACCGATGCTGATAATGTGAACAATAATAAACACAATTTGTGACGTACTTATTTTATGAATAGGAGTATTGTTCGATCGAGAACTCGAAGGTGCGGAGCCAGGGAGCTTCAACACCCTTATTTGTCAGCCTTGAACCAGTGAGCGCTTACAGCTGTTGCTTGAAGGTGGATTCGTGCTTGGATGCAGGGAATGTTACTATCTTGACTTGCAGGAATGACTCTTTGCTTCTTTCGGTAAAGTCACGTAGAAAATAAAATGCAATTTAGTTCTACCTGATGACGATTGCTTGTGTTGCAATCGACACGTCGTATTCTATTATTTAATTTATTTTCTTACTACGTGACTTAACCGAAAGCACTATAGAGGAATGCACTATGTTTACGTGTGTACGTTGAAATACCTTTGCACCGTACGTAGCCAATTGTGCTAAGCGGAGGTGATGGGGAAGGATGACAAAGTCGACAGAAAAAAGCAGTTGTGAAGAAACGAGTTTTCAATGTAGATGTTAAAGTGCGTAAGGTCCCAATGGCTTCCTAACATCGGAACGAAGAGTGTTCCGGACGAACGCAGAAGAGATCATCAGCAAACGCAATGGGAAATAAAGTGCAGTGGGAGAGAGTTTCTGAAGGCTGCCGGTGCTGCTACGGAGAAACGCCGCTCAGCCAGCGCGGTCCTGTGGTTTTTTTTCTTCTTGGGCATGATGAGTAAATTGTTTGATGGGTTCCATTGGTCTCCGCGGTTTACTGTGGTCAGTGGAGTGAGGAGTGGTATGGTGGGAGACCTTGAGAGAGAGAGAGAGCTCTGTGGCACGGGATAGCAACATTTATTTGATAATTTACCTGCAAGGAAGATATACACGTTTACCGTAGAATACTTTTTGGGGAAAAAAAAATATTTTTAGGAAGGTAAGTTGAGTTCCATCTCAGAGCACAAAGTTATACATATGACTAATAATACTTATTTAGCTGTACATTTAAATCTGCACTGTGCTTAAATAAAATGTTTTTTTTTCTTCTGGATTTTACCTTTGTCTTTTCTTTTAAATCTATATATGGGTTCTGCTTGGTGTTTCTTTCTATATATACAACACCACATCGTTAGAATACAAATTCGTGTTTGAAAAAATGTAATGTGCGCGTGTCTGTTGAATGTCGTCTGCACCGTACGTATCCAACCATGCTAAAATGCAATTGAATAATTGAATACATTAATGACAAAAAAATTACAATCGCGCATGAAGAGAAAAAAGGTGGTTATATTTAACTGGATTACATTTGAAAATGGATTACTCAATATTGATATATAGACATAAATGCGGTGACAATGGTGAAGGTGTCACGCCTCTGCAGGCAGAAGGACCTTAGCGAGAGTGAACTCGACTCTTTCACGTTGACTTGACGTGCAGATTGCTGGCAGATGAATGTAACTTAATCATCTTCATCAGCCATCATTAATTCACCACTGGATGAATACCTCTCACCAAACCGTTGCCATTTCTCACGGTCCTGTAATGTAACACATGAGTATGTAATGCAGTACAAGTGGACTACATGTTTAACTTTTATAGACCTAAAATGTCCTCAAAATGGAACTCCTCTTTGTGCTTGCAATATAGTCTGTTGTAAAGAAATGTATTGTTGTACAATTTTAATGAATTTGTTCTTATTTACAGATATATAAACAAGTGAAACTTCACCTGCATAACAAGGAACAATGAATAAAAATAAAACCGTTTCTAGGGTATGGACATATGTTGCTCTTTTATTTATCATCGTGAGCATTATTCTGGCGTCAGTTTTGATTCACCGGCATGTAAATGCAGACTTTCCCAAGAAGTGCCCCAATAAATTTGTTCTAAATGGCATTAAACCCGATTATAAGGCAATAGAGATATTTTCCGACCTAACGCCAACAGAATTGACCACCGTCAAGGACTTCCTGGTGAGCCATAAGGAGCTCAATATTGTTGCCTCAGAAGCCACCGTGAACAGCAACTACATCTACATGATAGAGCTCTACAACCCAGACAAAAAGGAAGCTTTGCATTACTTAGACCATGGAGGAGCCAAGCCTGCTCGAGTTGCTAAGGCAGTGGTTTTCCGCGGAGCTGACGTTCAGCCATCGGTCGCAGAATATCTGATAGGCCCGCTTCCGAATCCAACCTGGTACCGGCCACACAGTCCATCAACGAGGAAACGCGTTATTAATTTTAGCTCTCGGCCAACGACAATCCCGGAATATAAGGCATTACACGGAGAATTTATGCCCAGAATTTTTGAAAAAGTCGACCACATCCTCAAAGAAAGTTATGGTTATTGGTATACAAACTGTACTAAACACTGCATTAATGCAGGTGACATTCCATTGAGAGGACTTAAGTCTGGAGATAGGAGGTCTTGGGTCTTATTTTTCAGACTTATGGAAGGGTATTTTTTGCAGCCATTAAACTTTGAAGTTTTGGTTAACCATGAAAGCTCAAACGTTGAAGAGTGGGCAGTGCAGAAAGTGTTTTACAACGGGCAGTATTTTAATAGTCTGGAAGAACTCATCAGCCAGTATGACAATGGACTCATTGATAAGATCAAGCTAACCGGCACCGTTATAAATTCAGGATATGATCGTCGCGGAGCCTTCAGAGCAGACACGTCTCAGACGGGACCGCAGCAGTATGAGCCCGAGGGCCACCGCTACCGGGTTGACGGGAACTTTGTGCAGTACATGCCCTGGACGTTCGCTTTCAGAATCTCTTACATGGGGCTTCAGATATTTGATATCAAGTACAACGGTGAGAGAATTGTCTATGAGATGGGCCTCCAAGATGCAATCTCTTACTATTCTGGAAACAGTCCCACCGGCACACAAGGAAAAGCCATTGACTCAGGTTGGCACTTTGGTGCCGACAACTTTGAGCTTGTGAAGGGGATCGACTGCCCGCACACTGCCACGTACCTGGACACGTACCACTTTGTGAACTCTGAGAAGCCGCTGAAATACCCGAACTCCGTCTGCATTTTCGAGTACAACTCTGGTGTGCCATTACGTCGACACTTTGACAGAGATAGCCATCTTGGGTTCACCTTCTATGGTGGCTTGGTCAACTATGTACTTGTGATAAGGAGCATCCATAATGTATACAACTATGATTATGTGATGGACTACATATTCTACCAGAATGGAGTCGTCGAGGCAAAGGTTCACCCGACTGGATACCCCTTTACCACATTTTTTTTCGGTGAAGGCCTCAAGTATGGCAACAGAATATCTGAACACGTCCTAGGCAATCTTCACACTCATATGTTAAACTACAAACTGGATATGGATATAGCCGGTAAGTGTCTTTTATATATACAATAGTTATATTAAAACAATATTGTCAACTATTGGAGCAGTATGTGTTGTGTTAGAATGTGACTTAGATACTGCTGTCAGAACTTTAAATACACGAAAGAAAACAATGATGAACACTTGATCGATGATACACCACACAGTAATACTGTGTCATGTAATTACACTCACAAGTAAATGTAACATCATGCCCGGTATTACACTGGAAGGTCTTTGCGTGATAACAAAATTCCCGCGAGAAAAGCGACGTCCCAGACCGGATAGATTTCAGTTACACTCAGTTTTCTGGCCGACCAGTTTATTTCTGTCCCTGCATTTTTCAGGCTGTGAGCTTGCATTCCGTAAAAGCCCCCTCCCTCTCTCTCTCTCCACCTGTGAAGTAGAATGCTCCTGTGTCTGTGCCTACTTCCATCAGGCTGTGGGACAGGCTTTTGGCCTGGCCTTTTTTTGGCCCTTCACAAACCCAACGAATTGAACAGTTTTACTCACATCCGTACAAGCGTTATGAAACCGTCTACTTTAAGCCAAAGATGTTTTCAGATAAAAGTTAAAATGGAATTATTACGAAATATTACGTGAAAATAACTGACGGCATATGTATGACTCTTAAGACAAATATACGAACTATACTTTAATATGGTACATTGATGATTCAGCAGCACATGAACTTGCATTAAATTCGCTTTACAATAAAATCATTTTGTACAGCATAAAAGAAGGTTTAATATGAATACGTATATAAATGTAAATCGTGCAGAGTGGTGGCAGTAGTTTGCACTCTTTGCAATGGACCTGAAAACCTGAGTTTGATTCCCATCAAAAGCAAAAATAAGTAGCAAGTGAAATTTGACCCTTTCCTAGCCACGAGCCTGAAGTATGATTATACCCGCAGCATTGGGTCCCTGACATTGCTATTAACGTCTGTGGAAGTGTACATAATGCATAATGAAACAAAGACATAAACAGATCAAATAGAGTAGTAGATTCTTTTTATGATTTTTCATGACCAATATATTGCTCTGTTGATGTAGAAATTGTATAAAACACTGCATTACATGCCACAAAGGTTAAGCTGAAATGAAACGCCATGATATGTAATTTCAAACTGATTTTCAAGCTATAACGCGTTAAAATAAAGTTCACACTTAAATTCCATTAAAATAGTGCCTTATTTATATTGATTAAAGCAATTGTTTTGTACTCCATAAACAACTATATAACTCATTATGACAAGCTTACGAAAGATTGTTTTGTTCATGCAATGCTTTATTTTGTTCAAGTGCATGTGGTTTCTAAATATTTGCATTTCGCCATGTTTTTATTGTCCACAGGCACAAGCAACAGCTTTAAGACTGTGAGTCTGCAGCTCGAGAACACGACCGTCGTTTGGAGCCCAGAGCACGCCAAGGTCATTCCCAGGGTGAAGCATGACCTTAAGAAGACAGAGTCGGAGGCAGCCTTCAAGTTCAACGTCAGACTTCCATACCTGGTGTTCATGAACGAGAACGCCAGAAACAAGTGGGGCGCCCAGCGTGGTTATCGCGTGCAGCTCACGAGCCACGGAAACCCCCTGTTGCCAGAGGATTACGAAGAGGAGAAAGCTGCCACTTGGAGCAGGTATCTGTGTTTTATCTGCTGGGATTTCCCATGCAGATTTAGGGTCACCGAGATGGTGGCTTGAATCATGGGAAACCGCATCCCTACGTAATAAAATAGCTTATTTTTTTGTAGTGAGCTGATAGTCACAGCCCAATTCGGGCACCAAAGTGGCGAGATGTGAATTACCTCGCCTGGTTTAGAGGGCGTGGGTTCGATCCCGACCCTGACGCCTGTATATTTAGAGTTTGCGCGTTCTCCCCGTGGTCACTTGGATTTTTCTCCGGGTACTCAAGTTTTTCTCCTATACATTTAGAAACGTGTTTAAGAGTATTTGGCTGCTATACATTTCCACATGATAAGCCACTGCAATGAGTTATAATTTGTGGCCAGGTCGCTTCTGAAAAAGAGCTATATTGCTCAGTGGGCCTTACCTGGTAAAATAAAAATATTTGTTTTTAATAGCTTTCAATCAGGCAACCACCAATGACTACTCAAGACATCAAATCATACCAGATTATAAATACAAAACAATCTACTTGTCTGAACCGCAAACACGAGAGTTAAATACAAGTTACTGAAAATATAACACCTTTTGAAGTCTATAAGTTACTGAAAATGAAGGAAAATTGACATGTTCAGGATCATTCCGCAATGAAAGCTCTTATGTTACAATTCCAGAAATGTAATGTATTGCTTTTGTAAATCAACTATAGTTATATGAAACATAATTTGTGATTTTATCAATTAAACATGGCACATAACCTGCAAATAAATAGCTACACATAGGTGTAAGATGTATTTATGTTTAATATTTACAATAAAAACATTCATAAAAAGGACCATTTCGTTTTCATAATTAAAAATAACGTACAGAAGTTTGCAAGTCCACTGCTGGATGAAGGCTTCCCCATTCCATGTTAAGCATATGAGTTAATGGACCATACTTCACCATACTGGTCAGTGTGGGTTAGTAAGGGGTGCCAGCACCCAATCGGATATGACTCGCTATGGATGTTAGCCATGGCCGGAAATCAGATTTAGCTCGCTGAGTTCAAATTGCAGTGCACTAAACCACTGAGACATCACTCTGCCAAATCTTGATTAAGTAATTATTGTTGGTAGAATTATCACTTGTAATAAATAAATAAAACGTTGGATTTAGTAGTTAATAATTGATATGCGATTAAACAATTCGAAACTAAGGGGTGGTCAGATGGCTCAAACATCAGAATGTTGACACAACAGATCTTGAATCCAAATCTTAGCAGTGATTAACCTGTGATTAAACCTAGTATGCAAGTGTCATGAGACAATGGTCTTAGACAATTAACCAATGACTGCACAACAACAACAAAAACATATTACATTTTATTTTGCACTTCATCTTTAAGTAACTTCCAGCCCTGAGAATTAAAAATATAAATTTCACCATCAGGTGAAAATATCATCACAGAGTGTATGGGAAACTACGGCATCTACTGTGCAAAGGGATATAAAGAGGCCACTAGAACGATTTTTCATAAGTCATTTGAAAACTGTCGTTCTTTAACACAAGGATGCAATGCTCTGTGAGATTTCTGAATGGATTATTTCTGTCATGATGCAAGTGGCAAAAGTGGAACGTTTGGGGGGGGGGGGGGGTAAGGGGGGGGAGGGTGACGACGACCAAAACACATCGTAACTACATCACCACTCTGAATAATACTTCTGTTTATCTCAACCACTATAATCTAATTTATAATTGTATAATTGCTGTAAAACATATTCGAATAAGGCACTATATACATCTCCATGAGATAAATATTTATTAAATCTCATTTGTGTGTTATTCAAACATTGTTAAATTATACATGCATACTGTATAACACCAACATTTCTAGGCATGATGTATATTATAAGTTGTAATTCCACATAAACTGGCACTATTTGAACACACATCGACAATAGGGACATTAAAGTTTGTTGTTTGGAAAAATGGAAAGGAACTGGAAATAGAGGAAACCCTCACAGAGAATGGCTTGACGATGACACAAGACATGAGTGCCAAAAAGATGTGAACTGAGCATATTGGTACAAGACAGAGAAAAGTGGAAACTAATTACTATATGTGCTATCTGGCCATGGATCGTGATGGTGATGAATTCCACGTAACCATTGAATGTCTCCCTCTATCCAAGGTACCAGGTGGCAGTGACAAAACGCAAAGAGACAGAGCGACACAGCTCCAGCATCTATCAGCAGAACGACCCTTGGGACCCAGCAGTCTATTTCCAGGATTTCCTCAAAGACAATGAAAATATCGTGAATGAGGTGACTTAAAAATCTGTTAACATGTGTTTTTTGCTTGGATATTTTTGAATTAGCTCACTGAAAAATGCATTCACCGTTCATTTTATGTCAAAAAGTGTTGTTATAAAAATGAGACTATATTCATCTAGAATGCCAAAAATGAACTTTTTAAATGGGGATGAAACTTTGTGCATGAGAAAAAGAAAATAGACGTTTGGCCATGCTACTTTACTGCATTGCACCAGAAGGGTTGTTCAAAACCTGCACTAGTGATGCACTAACTTGTAGCAAGGAGTTGAGATGCGAGGAAAGAAATTTTCTTAACGAAAACATTCTTAGAAAGTCAAGCAGATTTCAACTGCAACATCAAAATGTTTTTTTCATGTAATAAGTCAACGTGATTTGTCAAAGTGATTTCTTACTCAAATGAACACTGAGGTGGTGCTTATCTCCAGTTTAAACTTTGAGCCAGTGGTGAAAAATACACATTTATATGACAGGGGCGAATGTATCCATGGGACAACCCCTGCTGACTTCCCCATAAAGTGGTCCTTATTTTAGCACACCCAAGAGGGATATGGACTGAGTCGACCGCCAACCACGATTTCAATACACAATCTTCCCATTGAGCCGTTTGCACTACCGCTGAGCCATCTGGCTGGTTGATATTAGCTTTCCTTGATGTAAGATGAAAAAAATACTCGTAGCAGAACAATCGAGGCTTCACAATAGTGCTAACGCCATCGCCTGTGGCCGTGCCGCTGGGCAGGACCTGGTGGCCTGGGTGACGGTGGGCTTCGTGCACATCCCCCACTCGGAGGACGTCCCCAACACGGCCACCGCCTGCAACGGCGCGGGCTTCTTCTTCCGGCCGTTCAACTTCTATGACGAGGACCCATCGGTGGCCTCGCGGGACGTCGTGATCCTGCGGCCAGGGTCCCACAGCTCTGGAAAGCCTGTCGTGTCCTGGTGGACGGAGCAGAGCCCCACTGAGCCCAGCGTGTGTCTGCCCGACATTCAGCCACTAGATTACAACGGCACACGCACTCCTGTGTAAGTGTAACGCACACAGTACTGTTGAGATAGCTGTGATGTCATGTTAAATCAATTGTATTCTTGCATTTATTCAACACGTTATGAATAATATATGGTGAAAAAAAGATGAAATAGTATGCAGGTTCATCGAAAAGTCTCTGTGCAGTGGGCGCAAATTTTAACCAGAGCCTGGATGAAATAAGAATAGAAATTACCCACGTGCAAGGGACATATACAGACAAAATAATGAACTGTAATCATTTGTTCTCAAACATGTTAGGACATGTTCGGTAGTGTTTGGATGTAGATTGTTCCCAATTAAATTAATTACTGTGAATTGTAAAGGCAGTTCTTTTGTACAGAGACTCTCTGTCACCTTGTTTATATGTGGGTATTAAGAATAAAATTATTCTGCACATAACTTTGTTCCATTCCACAGACGTTGCACAATCACTGCAAACCTCTTTATTTTTTGGCATAGCATTTGTATTTCGAATCACCAGTCAGTAATCTCAGTGTGTTGAGATCCCATTAATGGTGCTCCAACGCTTGAACTCCCTTCTTGCCTGGGTGGCCCAGCCCAGGGAGCCTAGCAAGGGATGCAGGCAAGGCAAGGTGCCTGGCCTGCTTGGCCTATGAAGAGGTTTACCACCTGTCCAGGTTTGACCGAGGCAGATCAGGAATTTGAACCTGTGTTCAGGTTCTGGCGGTATTATGCTGAACTTGACAGAACTATGTCTGGGTTTGATCGATGAACAAGGAGGCAACACTACCAATGAAAAACACAACTAGGCATGTTAGAAAAGTAATTAAGCAAAAATAAACAAATATATTCGCGAAATATTTGAGTGCTTTTTAATTAATGTAACTTCATAAAAATTAATACATTTTATTATCAAGCATCTCGCCATCCTAATTCTAAATTTTAGTCATGTTTGAATATCTCCATGATGATCACATGACTCCATCCAGCCAATCAGAGCACATTACCCCTATAACATCTGCACATTTTGAAAGCTGATTAAACATTGTTGAGTGTTGCCGGAGTGAAACTTTTCTTTGTGTTGCACCTTGTCATGGAATAACAGGGGCAGCAACGTTGCTCACAGCATTACATTACATGAAAACTGTACCATTTATCTTTGCCTTTGAACAATGTCATTAATCTATGGATCAAAGCGATTAAATAGGCATTATCAAGATATTAATTTTCTCTATGGAAGCTTCCAAGTCCCATGCTGATACTGACAAATCGCGCACATATCTAGACGTGTAAATGTTAATGTTGAATATTAATAACACATCGACATTGCTGTATCCCCGAGTTTGAAATGAAGTTGGCAAGCTTCCCCTTCAGCTCACCTCCAACTTGAGAAATTCTCACGGATACTAACCAATCTCTCCTCTTCTTGGTGGCCAGTCACATTGACTCTAGACACTTTAAGAGCTCCGTTTCACTTCTATTTGTGTATAACACTATATACTATACAGTACATGAACAGCCCTTTTCAATTTTGCTGCTAAAAGAGGGCCTGCTCACATTGTGCGAGTCGTCGTGGTTATATACTTTATCACGCTGGTCAGTGCCGGATGGTGAAGGTGTGGGACCACAGAAGTACAGTGCAACAATGGATCCTTTGGCATTGTCCTCTGCTGCCCATCATGCAGCCTATAAACCATGGGAAATCAAAAATTGTGTTACTAAAACTATTTTCTGACAGCAAGTGGAACAAATACAGTAAATGTATATCTCAACCATAATGTTTAAGAGCAAAAAGCTATATCATTAGACCTCCTTTACCAGTACCAAAATATAATAATAGGGTTTTCCCCTTTTTCTGGCAACAAAACTGAAAGCTTTTTACAAGGATTCATGTTTACTGCATTAACCACAATACCTGCAGTCAAAATGCAAACAAAAACATACAATGGTAATATATGCATTGTCCTTGAAACTTTTGGCGTCATCTGGTCAAGCACCAATTGGGTCGAGGCTCAAAAGAAAGCCGTCCCTTGGTGTGGACCAATCAGTTTCAAGGACAATGCATATATTATCATAGTATATTTTTTGTTTGCATTTTGACTGCAGGTATTGTGATTAATGCAGACATGAATCCTTGTAAAAAGGTTTCAGTTTTGCTGCCAGAAAAAAGGGGAAAAACCCTATTATTATAGCAAAAAGCTATCTTATGTTCTGTATTCTTGAAAACGGTTATGTTAGGTTAAGGATGATTAGATGTAGGGTGGTGGCTTTGCATGTGGCCTGAAGTCCATCACTGGAAGCGAGGGTTGGTGGATCGCACAAATGTTGTGAAAATCCCTTCTAGTGGGCGTCGAGGTGCCGTACACTGGCTTTCCAGGTGAATGCAGTACAGCAAGTGGACTAATCGACATCTGTTTCCATCTGTATGGGAATCGAGTATTGCCCCCCTCTGGGCATGTTTTGGGGTGCTTCGGTTTCCTCCCACATTATAAATGCTCGTTATTTTGGCTGACTGCCGATATTGGGAAATTGTTGACACCGGACCACTGTCCGGTTGCTTCTCAGTTATCTGTGATTCTTTAGAGATGGGGCGATGCATTTTGCATACGGCTACGCTATGTAAAACTGAACACATGCGCATATCGTAGTTACAGTAGTGGTGAAATTTACTTATCACGCCATGTTTTGTAGCCCTCTGTATAGTTTCGGACACGAATAAAGATTAACAATGTGTAGCACCCACTGACCTGTGTGTATCCTTTCACTAGGAATTGGGTTTGCCAGTTCTCCAGCTCCGCCGCAGTTCTGGTAGCTTAGCTGCTCCAGGCTGGCTCCAGATCTGAGAGAAAAAAACTCATGGGAATGCCCATAGGCTAACGTGGAGACAAAGGGAATGCCCAATGGCTAACATTGAGAAACATTTCCATAGGCTGACCATGGAGAAAACGGAATGCCCATAGAAATGGCTGCCTTTGGCTCATTTTTAGTTGGGAGGTGCTGGGGTAGTCGGGGCAGGGATTGGGAGCTAAATTACACTCGAGAGATGCGGTTGCCACTAAGCCATACGCTGCATTACCAGGACCTGGAAGCACCATTGCCAGTGCTGCCCCCTAGGGCCGGAGGCTGCATCGTCACCATCCTTGATCATGCTCGATAATGATGTGTCCCGCCCGGGCTGACAATTTTAAATCGGTTGCCTAATTTGTCACCCCAAGACATGAGCGTAAAAAATGTATGAATCCATGCATAGTAACAACCCAACAGTCATATTGAGAGACTGGAGCTCTTGACAGGAGCAGTGTTATATTATACTCTTTGGTTCATTCGGTAAAGTCACATAGGTAAAAAACAAATTAAATCACGACGTTTCGATTGCAACACAAGCAATCATCATTATACCTACGTGACTTTACCGAAAGAACCAAAGAGTATGGATCCCTGCAGTCGCGAAAACTTCAAATCTAGAGTGTTATATATTATTTCATCCAAATTGGTCATGATAATTTTTGGCAAGTATTTTTTTTTCAGTTGTCAATTACTATGAGTGGATATAAATAATCAAGAATGACGATCGCTGCAACTTCTGCCCACCAAAAAGCAAAGCTTCATTGACTATGATGTCGATGAAATTAATTCGTCTGAAACACGACATCGATAAATTAGTAGCATTATTCTAGACAGCAGTACACTGAGGAAGACCAAACATGGTAGTTGGCTATATAGATGAAAATATTACGTTGTTTACTGTTTGGCTGATCTGATATTGGGCAGGAATAAATCTCATGCCCCTCACACCGGTTTATGTGACTGCTTTAGTCACAACGACCTGGAGAATGACTACATAATCTCTATAGCCTGAGACTTGACTAAAATTCACAGGTTCTCATCGACGCAGGTAAGACTGACTAAAGTAAATAAATACAAATTATGACTAAACTAACATCGGACAGGAATTGGCGACAGAATAGCAATGGACATAGCACAACCAACCACTTACCTGAACATTGTAACACTGATTTTAACAATAAAGATGGACACACACACATGCTGTACTGCTGGGTATGGTGGCACAAACCTGTATCTGTATGCCAATGATTTTTTAAGGCCTATCAGACTACACAAATGCCATCACACCTCCGAGATTCTCAACGTGTGGAGCTGGCAGCACAGAAAATTATTTCGTACTCTGCCTCTGCTGTTTAATCTGTCATACGCATTGATTTTCTCCAAACATTCTGGTGAATCCCTTCCACCAACGCAAAACAATAATAACGCAATGGCGAATCATTCCACTTCCAGATCTTCCTTGAATGTCTTCAGACTTAAGGAGGCTTTCCTTTAAAATGAATATGCTATCAAAAACAAGAAGTCATTATGGATTCCAGATTATTAAGTGTTACTTAATACGAGGTCATGTTTTTTTGGTATTCCTTGTATTTACACTAATCAGACCACGAAGACATTCCTAACCAGCTACATAAATACTTTGCAGTAATGCGCATCTCCTCAAATAATACATGTCTTCTGAAAGTTAAGCCGAAGTAGAGAAATAACAATGGCTTTGACTGGCAATTCTAGTCACCATAGCGCCATCTAGTGTTGTCTTTACGACATTTTATAAATTAGATAATTCAGTACAATACAAAGTTTTGGATTTGCAATTTCAGTGTTTTGTATTCCCCCCCACAGCAATTATATAGTATTTGCACCGCTGTTTAAATACTTGATTAATACAAATCAAAAGACTACTTTTGACTGCGATTTAAAATTTCAAACAATGTTTTCACAGGCTTCATTTCCAAATTCTTTGGTTCTATTCGGTAAAGTCACGTAGGTAAAAAAGAAAACAACAACAATCACGACGTTTCGGCCACAACACAAGTGGCCTTCATCAGGTGAAGGGACCATGCTGTCACGAAGACAGCGTTGGAATCAAGAAAGTCAAGCCCAGGTCGCGTCCTTTAAGCTGTGTGGGAGGAAACCAAACGCTTTGACAAAGGAATTAGCATAAAGTGCTGATCGAACACTTAAAGTGCTGATAGAACACAAAACACGGGGGGAGGGGGAGGGGAATTTGACAATGCAAACGTTGTGTTGAAGGGAAATAAGCTGCTGTGAAAGTTTGGAATATCACTACTGGATAAATATACTGTACCATTGAAATTAGTTTAATGTTTGGTATGATTTAGAACATCTTTCCAATGATTGCTTAATTTGAAAGCATCTTCTCGGTTGAAATTGTGTCTGTGTTTGTAGATCTGAATTGCCTCGTGGACAAATCTCTGATGATAACCTGTGGGTTTGCAAAGGACCTGGGTATCGGAGAACACTATATCGTGATCACCCACAGCGTTGTAACAGTGATCAGCTACGGCAGAATAATTCGTTCTGCCGTGTTTCAAATCTGATTTGTGCTCGCGAAATCGGTCAGAGACATGTCGCTTCGTCTCCCCAATATAGCAATCACCACAGGTACAACTCAATTTGTAAACCCCGGGGTACTGTAAGTCAGGAATGACATCCTTCACGGATGGGATCAGATCACGAATTTTGTGTACTGTATTGTACCGGGCTTGGATCTTGTGTTTGTTTAGAATTTTGGAAATCTTTTTAGTAACGCCTGCTATATATGGTAGTGTGATGGTTTCGACTGGAGTATCAAGTGGTTGTTTCTGTATGGTAGGAGAAACAGCTTGGCGGATGGTACGCTCAGAGTATCCGTTTCTCTTGAGGGCCAGGTGTACATGTTTTAATTCACTGGTCAGGTGGTGTTGGTCCGAAATGCAATGAGCCCTATGGTATAAAGTTTTGATGAGAGAATTATTTTGAGCTGGGTGGTGGTGGGAATCAGGTTTCAAGTAGGAATCTGTGTGGGTGGGTTTCCTGTAGACAGAATGCCCCAATGAGCCATCAGGTCTCCTCTCAAACAGAACATCTAAGAATGGTAGCTTGCCATCTTTCTCCACTTCCATGGTGAATTTGATGGCGGGATGTCTGGAATTGATGTGGTGTAGGAAAAGGTTCAGAGCTGGGAGGCCAGGTGGCCAAATGACGAAA